TCTCCAGAATTTTTATCTTATTCTTCTTTGAAAAATGTAAAAGAATGAGATAAAAGTTCTGGAAAAACTAAGACATGATTAAAACCACCTTATTGTAAATTAGAAAAAACAGAGCACTGGCTGGGATTAAAGACAAAACATAAGTTAAGTAGATATGAATAATCAGTATGGGTTACCTAGAAAGCAAGCTGAAAAGTTGATTATTTGTGTTAGAGATTGAGAATGACAAAAGAGACACTGACTCTAAAGTTAAGCTATTAAGTATGATGTTTAAGCTAATGATAGTTAACCATTTTAACTAACATTAGTTTAAACAATAAGTATATAAGTATAACAATAACATTAAATAAAAAACAAAAAACAAAGAACTACAAAAATATTTTAAAAACATGTTTATAATATAAATAATAAGTATAAAGCATACAATAATATTATAACTAATATATAATATAGTTACAATTTACCAATAAAAAACTAAAAACCATATACAAAATCAGCAACCTTATTTCGTTGTTTCCGCTTCTATCACCAAAAGTGTCTAAAATCTATTTTTAATATATAATGAAAAGAATCTTATAAAGGAATATATATTAATTTTATTACTTAATTGGATGTTTACCTCTGATGCTTTTTCTAAAATCTTCTTTTGCAATATCTGAAATTCAATTTAAAACACGCAAAATAATTCATTCATTCTTTTTTATAAAAATGTCAAGAACAAATAGATTTAAAAGTTAGCTAAAAAAAACTGGAGAATTCAAAAAAAGACTCCAATTTTAAAGTCAAAAAATGCCCTGCTTAAAAATTTAGGGTACAACCAAGAGACTTATGTAAAATGGCTTCTTAACATAAAAAAAAAGAATAAGTAGTAGTTATGTGACTTTCAAACATTAAGCTCAATAATAAAATAAATAGTATGACTAAATCACCTTTCCTACATAAAGTAATTCTTTTACTTCATCCAGAGTAAATGGTTTAAGATTATTTTTCTAAAATAAAATTAAATATGCATATAAAAAAAACATTTAAGGTTTATTTCAAACTACTTCTTCTATTTACAATTCACACAAAAAATTGAAACCAAAGTGTTTTGTTTGCACAGGTTAGCATTTTTCTCTGCATTTCTCAACACATTATTTATTGACACATTGATAATATATTCTTTTTACTATCTTGACGCATAATATGTAAAAGGAAATATAAATAATAATAAAATCATTAATGAATTATTATATTACATGAAATATAAGTAACATGAATATATTCAAAAAATGTTAAATCAAAATTTCAAAATATTAAATATAACTCAAATTAGTTTTATATATAATAAATAAGATAAACTAAGGAAAGGAGGGGGAGAGTAATTAATTGCAGCTGATTAGAGTAATAAAATTTTTTCTTGCGCACGTGTTTGTTGCGGTAAATACTTTTTAATGAAAAAAAAGCTATAGAGTAATAGGACGATATTCGAAATTTTTTAAATTCCGGAATAATAAGAGACTTGAATCTTTCGTGCGTATTTTAACACAAAAAAGTAGATACAGAATAAATAAAATAAACAAACAGCATAAGAAGTAACATTGGATTTTGTTTATATTAGTTTAATTATTTGCCTAATATGGCTACATCACTTTCTTGTGTTGTCATTGGTTGTTCCAATCACTCAACCAAATTTAAAAAATGGAAAAAAGCTATTTGTGAAATTTCAAAATGTTCAAAAGAAGAACCTAATTGCTGCTGTTCTGAACCATTTAAACTTATTCCTTTTCCTACTGAAGAAAAAGACACAGAGCGTCGATCCATTTAAAAAAAAATGATAAATCGGGTAAATTCAGACAAATCTCAATAAGAAGCTTCTAATTACAGTATAATTTGTTCGGAACATTTTATTCATGAAAAACTTGAATGTCCTACATAACTATTGGCATACAACGCATTAAATAAATTAATAATTTGTTCCTTCTGTCTCATCTAATTGTAATCGACCAATAAATAAACGAAATAACAACGTAATTTCTGATTCATTTTCAATAAAAACAGCCACTATATCCGCCTCTACTTGTAAAAATGCATATGTGATTACAGCAGTTAATAAAATAAATGCTAAAACGTTTAAAAGAAACAGCCCAGTGGGCACGGGACGTAAAAAAGACGTCCTTAGGACGTTCAAATCGCGTCCGTCCGTCCCATTAAAAATCTAAACGTCTTTTGAACGTCTTTTTTGCGTCTAATAATTTTTTCGTCCAAAAAATATCCAGAATGCTTTATTAAATCAAAAAAAAATCAGTTAAATAACGCAAGCGCTACAACTTCCTAAAATTTTTAAGTAGCGCATTTTTTTTCGAATATAAAAGAAGTCTTTTTACAACGACAAATAGACACGTTCTAGCTAGAGAGCCTATATACTCAGACAGCGGACATACGGAAAATACGGAAGAACGGCGGCCATGTTTTTGCCAAACTAGCGTATGACATTCGCGAATTCAAGTAAAAACAATTAAAAGAAAATGAGCACAATAATATTTTCAACAGAAATATGTTTTTAAAAATTAAACCTTTTTATGTTTTATTTTTTCAAAATTATTTTTCGACAAAATTATTGATTTATTTACGAAATACCTTTATAAAAAGCACAGCAAAAAAGTAGTTGTAATCAATAAGTAATTTGAAAAAAGCTTTACAGTTTACTTTATAAATTAGTTGAACCTAAACCTTTAGTGCCAATGCATCCATTGTCATACTCTTGCTGCCAAGTTCACAAGAACCTTTTTTAGTTTTTTTCTTTTTACATAATAAACGCTTTTTTTAAGGCTAAATATTTTAAGTCTTAATGTTATAAACCTGTTTTTTAGATTCAATTTAAGTTGATGACAACTAGGATACAAAGTTAGACTTTTAATTTGTTCATCAGAATTAATTTTCTCTAAAAGCATAGTATTACAATTCTTTTGGGAATTAAGGTATGGCTCAAAAGATCTGAATATTAATTCCATTTGTAGAAAGAATGCAAATGTTGTTTCATTAGCAAAAAATAAACTACCAACTTTGTGCTCTTTGTCTGTAACAAACTTTGTGTAATCAGCATTAACTCTATTTTTAGAAACTAGAGATTCAAAACAAATTGTGCCAACTTTTTCCATTTTTTTAACTTTAGAAATTATATAACCTGCAATATGTAACAAACAATTTTGCTCAGCATTACTTAAGATTAAGTTAGAGGTTTTATCCCAATCTTTAGGTAACAAAATGCACTCTCTTTGCTGTGGCTTATGCACCTTACTATTAACTATATCAAGAAAACCAGATAAGAATTGACGGTCATCTATATCATAACTGCCTTTTGATGATTTTTTCAAGAATTGGGCAACGCAAATAAGTTTCAAGTTATTTTTAAATTGAAGAGCAGTAGAAATTACTTGTTATGCACGTACCAGGGAAAAAAGATTCTCCAGGCAATCCTGCTTAAATCGTGATGTCATTAGAAAATCAAACTTTTTTTCTAAAAGAAACTTATTTTGCAAGTTAATAACTGATGTTGTTGATAATATAACACCAGATTGAATAAGTTTCCACCTTATTTTTCCAGTTTGGCCTAATATTTTTAAACCTTTGAATATCTCTATGATTTCATTTAAAAAATTTATTGTTTCATTGTAAACTTTGTCATTTTTCATGCTAAGAGCCATACCTGGGTTTCGTGAAGTCATTAATGTAAACCATTTATCAACAATTCCTATAAACCAAGCACTTGTGAGAATAGAATCATCTTTTATTTCACTTGCAATAAATTTTAATCCACAGCTTACATCACGATTTATTATAGATGTTGCTCTTGATACTTTCATTTGAAATGTTGAACATCTGAACATCTTGTTGAAATGTTTTTCATCAAGATGTTCAGATGTAAGCTTGTAAGCAAACTTCAAATCCATACCTTTTTGAAAGTCTACAAGCTTGTTAAGGTGTTTTGAATCTATAATTGGCGATTGAAGTTTATATTTTTCTTGAATCTTAGCTGTTATTATAAAATGTTTGTTACATAAAAGAGATGTTCTTATATTCTTTAATAAATGTGGTACGTCTGCTAAAAAATCAAAAATCAGTAGGGTCACATGGGTGTTTAATTGAACTAGAAATACTGCCACTTTTAGTACAGCTAATATTAAAAGATTTCCACATTGCCTGGTTAATGGCACCCATATCAGAAGTAACACTATTAACTTTTAATCCTATTTCATCAGTATACTTTATTATAGATAGGACAATGTTTTTTAAAACACCCCCATTAACAGAACTTCCAGTATAATAATATGCAACAGTTTGTTTCCATCTTGTAGATATTCCTCCAAGCATAAAAACTAAAGCATGGTTAGCTTGGCCATAATGTTCAGGTAATGTAACAACTCCATAGTAATAGCTTGTAGATGTGTCATTGTCACTTTCAGTTATTGACATTTCATCAAGAATTAAAACACATTCTTTTTCATGGATTTTTATGTCATTCACCTTAGTTTTCATAAACTTAAAGACTTCTGTTAGAATGCCACTTTGAAATTTTAGATTTTCTAATCTTCGTCGTAGGGTACGTAATGATGGGTATAGTAAGTTTAAACGAAGTAAATTTTCATAACCACTTTGACCACATGTAAATTTGAGTTCTACTGCTTCATTTATAGTATCATTTGACCATTTAATGAATTTCATATTTTTTCTACTTAAGGATAAAATTTGATCTTCTTTAAATATTGTTTTCAAAACTCTAAATTTATCTCTCTTTATATGATTATATTTTTGAATAGTATTTATTCTTGCTTTCAATTATAAAATGTTAATTTTTTTTTTTTTTGATTAATGACTTTTTTTTCTAATCTCCAATTTCGCATTTAAATCTTGTATAAGTAAACTTTTATCAACCTCGGTTGTGCAAAGTGATTTAGATACTATATTGTTATTTACTTCAATTAAAATATTTTCCACAACTTCTCCACTTTCTATACAACTTATTTTCTTTTTTTTGGTATTGGAAAACGCTCAAGTGGAATTTTTTGCTTATGTTTTGTTCTAACATATTTAAAGACAGTAGGAATTGCATTATGTTTGAGTTTGCTTGATCCATCTTCTCTGGTTTTTTCCCATTGATTAGCATCAAAGTGTACCTTAATGAAAAAATTGAACGAATATAATGTATTTGTATGGATTCTAAAATAACTTATTTCTAGGATTAATTACATAAAACTGTATTTTCTTATGCTTACTTTACATAAAAAGCTTGTGTTTGTAGGTATCCAGTTAAGTCGTTTAACTTTAGAAGTCCAAATCGCCCGTTGTTTTTCATTTCTTGGGAAGCATTTCATAATAAATCCTTTCTCAGGCCTGTTACGGCAGCCTACTGCAGCACAACCAGGCATACTTTAACAAATATTTAATACAAATTTAGTAGTAGACTTTATTCGCAGTTAGTATTTTTGGCAAAAAGATGGCGTCTAAAATCATAAAAATTGAACAATCAATCAAAAACGATCACACGTATGTCCGCTCTCTGAGTATATAGGCTCTGTAATAAAATATTACATCCGCCAAAAATATCACATCCCCCATAGAAAAAACGAAAACGAGATTGCGCTTTCGAGTCATTGCACTTAGAAGTGTATCAAGTACGTCCAAAACATTAGTTATAAACAATATAACGAGGTTCACAAAAACTTTTTTCTACTAACATACTATAAATGAAGTTAGCATAAAATGGTAATATATTTTAAATTCATATTTATAAAATTTTGATCGTAATGTATTGCGTGACAATACTAAAAAAAATGTTACACGTAAGGGATAAAAAACTTTAGGTAATAAAAATACCAATCGTTTGCAATATTTTAGAAGCCTGCATAGGGGGGATGTGATATTTTAAGTAAGAATTTCAATTTCTTTTTGTGACTTATACAGTGAATAAATCGAGGGAATGTGAAATCCTAGATACCAAATACTAATGGGTTAAAGTATTAGTTGAATTACTTAGGGGGATGTAATATTTTAGAAGTATACATAGGGGGGATGTGATATTTTAAGTGAGAATTTCAGTTTCTTTTTGTGACATATACAGTGATTAAACCGAAGGAATGTGATATTCTAGATACCAAATACTAATCGTTTAAAATACTTAATAATTTGCTTAGGGGGATGTAATATTTTAGAAGTATACATAGGGGGGATGTGATATTTTAAGTAAGAATTCTAGTTTCTTTTTGTGACATATACAGTGAATAAACGGAGGGAATGTGATATTTTAGATACCAAATACTAATCGATTGAAGTATTATATGAATTACTTTGGGGGATGTAATATTTTAGAAGTATACTTAGGGGGATGTGATATTGTAACTAAGAAATTTAGTTTTAAACAATATTTCAAACTAATTGTTTGAAGTATTTTATGAATTACTTAGGGGGATGTAATATTTTAGAAGTATACATAGGGGGGATGTGATATTTTAAGTAAGAATTTCAATTTCTTTTTGTGACATATACAGTAAATAAACCGAGGGAATGTGATATTCTAGATACCAAATACTAATCGGTTAAAGTATTAGTTGAATTACTTAGGGGGATGTAATATTTTAGAAGTATACATAGGGGGGATGTGATATTTTAAGTAAGAATTTCAATTTCTTTTTGTGACTTATACAGTGAATAAATCGAGGGAATGTGAAATCCTAGATACCAAATACTAATCGTTTAAAATACTTTATAAATTGCTTAGGGGGATGTAATATTTTAGAAGTATACATAGGGGGGATGTGATATTTTAAGTAAGAAATTTAGTTTTAAACAATATTTCAAACTAATTGTTTGAAGTATTTTATGAATTACTTAGGGGGATGTAATATTTTAGAAGTATACATAGGGGGGATGTGATATTTTAAGTTGGTTTTTTGCTTCTTTTATGTGATATATATAGAGCTTATACTTGGGGGATGTGTTACTCCAATGAGGAAATATAAATATTTTGCAAAATTTTTTTAAATTATTTTGGGGAATATTCTTGAAGCCTGCATAAGGAAATTTGATATTTTAATTTAAAATTTTAGCTATTATTTGCAAAATATTTAGAGATTACTTAAACAGTCTTTTTTTATTTTTTTTAGATTTAATTGAGCTAACAAATTAAAATTGTATTGTTGTTCAATCAATGTATGGCTTTCAACAACTTAAAGTATTATAACTATACAAGAAGTTACTGAAACTAAGAAAAAAAAAGTTCACCTATTTGTGTTTTTATCTCTTAGTGCATAAACATTTAAATTGGTTTAATTTACGAAAAATTTTGAAGAAAAAGAAATAACTGCAGTTTGTAAAGTTTCACTTATTGTTACATTTATATATAAATTTTTTCACAACAAAATAAAGTTTCATTTCTAAAAACAATGCATCCCATATGATACCATCGATTCGGAATGCAAATATCACATTTTATCTAAAAATAAATATTTAATGTACATTTTTCTATTTGAATATTTAAAGTATTTTTTTCTATTCGAAATTTCTATTAAAAAATAGTTAAAATATATTTTGTTACCCATTTATCTTTTTTTTGATTTTTTCTAGTTTTTGGACCAATTTCACTACCACAAATTCGACACAAACTATTCTGCCAACTTCTCTGACCTATTGATTTAATTTTACATCATTTTTTGTTTGTTTTTATTTTAAGATATCATATAACATTAAAGTAATGTAAACATTTTCAGTGCTCTAAAGAATATCACAAACCTCCTTTATCTAATAGAAGCTGTACCACTCTCTTTCTGTATGCATTCACTTCTTCACGTGGAAAGACACGCACCAATTCTTCTCCATTTATATAATTTTCAGCAAACTATACACATACATACATATATATATATACATATATATATATATATATATACATATATATACATATATATACATATACATATATATATATATATATATATATATATATATATATATATATATATATATATATATATATATATATAAGGCCGGCGCGATAGGGGGTGTGGGGGTTTAGGTGGGCGTAGCACCCCCCCTCCCTATCAATGATTTTTAGTCGGCAAATTGGACCCTTAGTCGGCAAATTGGACCCTTAGTCGGCAAATTGGCCCCTTTTAGACTAGTTAGTCGGCAAATGTCGACCCTTTCAATATAGGTTATTCGGTAATCTAGACTGTCAGCAAATGTCGTCATGGCAGTCGCCAAATTTTGGAAAACGAGGACCTTTTTTTTTTTTTAAGTCAGCAACTGTTTAACAACGATTTTATATATATATATTTTAGCTACGCTGTATGTCTTGTACAAGTTTGATGATGCTTATACTAAACTTCCGTTTTAGTGTTACCCGTAGAAAATTAAACAAATATTAATTTTAAAGAAAAGATAAAATATTTTATTATTAGAATGAACACTTTATCGAAGTAACAGGTATTTCAGTAACTTCTACAGATTAATATTATTTTAAAAAAACATTTCCCTTCTCCGCGTTTTTTATAGACGTTTAAAGACCTGTATTATGCGTATTATTAGACGCCTTTGAATAGCTATGGGTTTCTGAGACAAGTGTCTGACAAAAATGTCTTTTAAACTAAAATAAGTGAAGATGAACTCTCAACCTCATCTAATATATTTAAATATATAATGTCACTTCACTTTGTTTTAGCTCATTCTTTTTCTAGCGCTCATCTTTATTTAAACCTTTTAATTTTCTAAACTGATTAAAACGAGCTGCTTGATTCACGAAAAGGTTATGGCAAGTATTATAAATAAGGACAATTTCTGTGCAGATTTTTTTGTTGTGTTTATTATGGCTACGCGTTGGTACTGAACTCGTTGAATAAAAATTAAAACAATTTTTATTATAACAATTGATATAGTCAACTTTATTACCTAATTCAAGCATTTAAATTAAGCTACCACGCTCTCGTCTTTTTTTCAAACTTTTTGAATTCAACGCTATAAATCTGTCATTATAAGGATAATTTTTATTTGTAAGTGAAATCTTCCTCGAACAATCACGCACTTCAGCATTTGTGTCATTAATAAAATAGAAAGACCTAACAAAAGCAGAATTTTTTTAGTGTGGAAGAATAAATAGAGTATAATTGCTCGATAGTATTTTTTTTCAAAATTTTTTTTTTACAAACATGTGCTAACATTTGATGGAATATGTGTGCATATATATATATATATATATATATATATATATATATATATATATATATATATATATATATATATATATATATATATATATATATATATATATACATATATTTGTATGGCACTGTGGGCATAAAACAACATTAATCGAAATGTTTTCATATTAGAAAATTTTTTCATTATAAATTACTTAACCCTAATCACAATCATAACTTAATCACAATCCAAAAATTGTTTATGTACTTTGCCTTTTTCATCTTTTACGGTACATTATTCTTTATCATTTTAATTTAGTATGATATTGGATGATTCTTAATCCGAAATACACGATTTTATATTTATCGTAATAAATATAAATCAATTTTTTAACTGCCACTTTAAACAATTTGTATTATTTTACTAATTGTGAACTGGACTAAATATTATTAACTCACCGAGCCAGCTGACATGGAGTAGTTACGTAAAAAATCAGTAATCGAATTATATTTCCATACCAAACCATCGAAAGAAACGTTAATATTTAAAAATAATTATTTAATATTGTTCCTTTATTAAAAAAAGAAGAAGCTTCTATTATTCATAAATAAGTTTTAACTTCTTCATATTTAAAACCAGGAAGGTTTTAAATCTGAAGAAGTTAAAACCTTCCTAAGACACCACGCCTCAGCCCCCATAGGTGGACGTAATGGAGAAAAATTTTAAATTAAGCATTAGAATAAAAAAAGACAAACTGTAATTATTTATTTTCTTTTTAAACATTTTTTACATTAAAACTAGTAAAATATTTATGTTGTAAGATATAAAAACATTTAGAATAAAAACTTATTGTAATTAATTTCTTTACGTTCATTTTAAATCTTATGAAAATTTAATTCTATCAAAATTATATAAATGACTTCGTTGAACAATGTCGCATGTTTTAATTGTTAACTTAATCGCATCTAAATAAAATAAAATATTAAATTAAAACTTTGAAAAACTAAATAAAACTATTAAATTAAAGATTCTTCATTTTATTAAAAGTTCTTTGAGTAAATATATAAATTTATTATAAAGATCTCCTCATTAGACTAGGACCCAAGAAATAAAAAATAGCTGACACTACTTGAGATAAATATCTTACTTAAATTACACATCGACCCTATGCAGGCTTTTAAAAAATTACATCCCCTTAAGTAACTCATAAATAATTCAAATATGTTGTAATTGGTAACTAGAATATAACATCCATCACTTGTAATTTCTGTATAAATCACATAAAGAAACAGAAATTCTTTCCTAAAATATCACATCCCCCTTATAAAGACTTCCAAAATATTAAATCCCCTTAAGTAATTCATACAATATATCAAATGATTAGTAATTGGCATTTAAAATATTAGATTCATCACTTGTAAATTCTGTGTGTATCACAAAAAGAAACTAAATACTTAAAATATCACATCCCACTATGTATACTTCTAAACTATTACATCCCCCTAAGTAATTCATAAAATACTTTAAACAATTAGTTTGAAATATTGTTTGAAACTAAATTTCTTAGTTACAACATCACATCCCCCTAAGTATACTTCTAAAATATTACATCCCCCAAAGTAATTCATATAATACTTCAATCGATTAGTATTTGGTATCTAAAATATCACATTCCCTCGGTTTATTCACTGTATATGTCACAAAAAGAAACTAGAATTCTTACTTAAAATATCACATCCCCCTATGTATACTTCTAAAATATTACATCCCCCTAAGCAATTTATTAAGTATTTTAAACGATTAGTATTTGGTATCTAGAAAATCACATTCCCTCGGTTTATTCACTGTATATATCACAAAAAGAAACTGAAATTCTCACTTAAAATATCACATCCCCCCTATGTATACTTCTAAAATATTACATCCCCCTAAGTAATTCAACTAATACTTTAACCCATTAGTATTTGGTATCTAGAATATCACATTCCTTCGGTTTATTCACTGTATATGTCACAAAAAGAAACTGAAATTCTCACTTAAAATATCACATCCCCCCTATGTATACTTCTAAAATATTACATCCCCCTAAGCAATATATAAAGTATTTTAAACGATTAGTATTTGGTATCTAGAATATCACATTCCCTCGGTTTATTTACTGTATATGTCACAAAAAGAAATTGAAATTCTTACTTAAAATATCACATCCCCCCTATGTATACTTCTAAAATATTACATCCCCCTAAGTAATTCAATTAATACTTTAACCCATTAGTATTTGGTATCTAGAATTTCACATTCCCTCGATTTATTCACTGTATAAGTCACAAAAAGAAATTGAAATTCTTACTTAAAATATCACATCCCCCCTATGTATACTTCTAAAATATTACATCCCCCTAAGTAATTCAACTAATACTTTAACCCATTAGTATTTGGTATCTAGAATTTCACATTCCCTCGGTTTATTCACTGTATATGTCACAATAAGAAACTGAAATTCTCACTTAAAATATCACATCCCCCCTATGTATACTTTTAAAATATTACATCCCCCTAAGTAATTCAACTAATACTTTAACCCATTAGTATTTGGTATCTAGAATATCACATTCCTTCGGTTTATTCACTGTATATGTCACAAAAAGAAACTGAAATTCTTACTTAAAATATCACATCCCCCCTATGCAGGCTTCTAAAATATTGCAAACGATTGGTATTTTTATTACCTAAAGTTTTTTATCCCTTACGTGTAACATTTTTTTTAGTATTGTCACGCAATACATTACGATCAAAATTTTATAAATATGAATTTAAAATATATTACCATTTTATGCTAACTTCATTTATAGTATGTTAGTAGAAAAAAGAGGAGCCGTTAAATACAGGAATGGCTCCCAATTTTGATTGGATGAAAAAATTTTGTTTCACGAAGTCCGTAAAACACTTTTTCTCGTTTGTCGGTTATCGTGACTTGTATATGTTATATATGAAACACGTATATGAAATATTATGAATATATTCTTTAGATCGGAGCAAATATTTTGACCAATCAAATTAGGGAGCCATTCCTGTAAGTCTTCGATTGTAGGTTTTATTTACATAAATCTTATTTACCGCTATTGTTTTTAATTTGTCTATAGTATTATAGTTTACTAACTTTGTTAATTTATTTTGTATATTATTCTTAAGTAAAACATATACTGAGAAGTTATACTTAGAAAAAGTAATAATAATTATAATTAAAAGTAATAATAATAATTATATATATATAATTATTATTATAATAATAATAATTATTATTATTATTATTATTAATATTATTATTATAATAATAATAATAATTAAAAGTAATAATAAATAAAAATTATACTTAAAAAAATATACTTAGAAAAAGTAAAACATATACTGAGAGTGTTAAGTAAAACATGTACAGAGAGTAAAACATAAAATTATATTATTTTTTGTTATACATTCAATGTGTAAATAAAAATGTTATTTATTTTTATTAATTTAATTTTATTAATTAATTTTTATTTTCTTAAATTCATAAAATACAGTGTGTTTTATTCACACATTAATTGTGTAATAATATGTTTTGTTATTGTAAATGTATTGTAATACATTTACAATAGTTACCCTGTGTGTTACATAGTTACCCTGTGTATTATAATACACTTACCTATTACAGTTACCTATTACATTATTACATTTAATAATTAACCTGTGTGTAACACTCAGAATAATTATTGTAAATGTATTATTATACATTTACAATAATTAACATGTATTATTATACATTTTCAATAACAAAGCAACACACAATTTCTTACACGCTACTACTAAGCCAATACTTTTACATTCTAAACTATGGCAATACTTTCAATCAGAGGTTTGTTGGTTAAAAATAAAATTAAAATTAAATTGATATGCTTCATAAAATTATATTGTTTAACTAATGATTCTTTATTAAATTGTTTTATTAACTAATAAAGTTAAATGTTAAAGTTAAATTAAGTTTCTAAATGATGTAGTTTTCTATAATCAAATTTTATCTTACTATTAGGTCAACAAATATTATCTTACTGGCTAGATCTTTTTTTTTTAAATATTTGTCTTTAAAAAACATTGAGCACTCTAACTGTAAAATACACTATGTAAGTTAGTGTATTCTAAAATTTAAGTGCTCAATGTTTTTAAGCATTACGTTTGCAAGGAAAAATTAGTTCAATGCAATTTGCATTATTCAATGACCAGATTTGTTCAATGTTGGAGTAAGTTCCTGGCAAATTTTCGGATACCACAACAAGAATTTTTCTCTTAAATAGCGTCTTTCTTCTATTTCTTTGAATAAGAGGTTAATTTGGTGGTAAGCTGCTATCTGCTCTTAATGCAGTACAACAATGCTTAGATAAAACTTGAGAAAACCTTTACCACTATCAATTCCAAGCTTAACAAAATATCCGTCAGAAAATTTGCAAGAGAATAACATGATAAATCATTGCATTGAGCAACATCCGGAACTGTACCAAAATCTCCTTTCCATTGGTAATTTTTAAGTCACTGCAGGTGACTTAAAAAATATTCTTGGCTTAGATTAGTAAAAACACTCATCTAAATATCCTCTACAGTCTGTTTTAACCTAATAAACCTGCTGAAGGAGAAACAGACTGTAGAAAAGATTTTAATAAGTTTTTTTAAAATTTTATATATATATATATATTTATAAAATTTTACATCGACTACATCGACTGACAAATAGCCTGACTCGCAAGGGAGTGCTGCTACATCGACTGACGGTTTGGTTTGGGCAGGCAGTCTATCATTTAAGAGAAAAAAAATTATTTAAGTTTTTAAACTTTTTCTGCTCTGCTTTATTAATGCCCTCTTTAAAACTACAGTTTATGGGAAAAACTTTCTATAACATTATTATGTTGTTTGGCCTTGAACTTTATGTTGCAATCTCCTAATTTATGAGTGAAATCACTTGTATTAATAATCACAACAAATATTAGTGTAATAAATTTTTTAAATCTAAAATAACATAATGAATAATTAAATCACAACATTCTCTGCAGCCATAAAATATATGAGTTTATATTAAGTAAGGTTCTTCACATATCTTCTTCTATTAACCTTAATGGTGGATGACTTACTCTTGAGGATCTACATGGTTAGGATTAGGTTCAGGGTTTGGGAAAATTTTCTGAAAACTAATAAATGCTCCTTGTGTATAAAGCACTTAAAGTACATTGTTTTATGAACTCATTGCTCACTAAATGCTTCCTACACACTCCACAAGCCTATTTCCCAGATATTTTTACTTGGTCATTCTTAACTTAGGTTAATCCTTAGCTCTTTTGTTTCAATTCCATCTTGTTAAGACTGAAAATTTTAAACACTTTATATATTAATTCTTCTTCAACTACATAAATTAGTTTTTATGCTAAGACAAGTCTAAACTCTTTACAAATAGATTACAAGAGGGTTACCAAAACCAAGGGTGTATCACTGAACAATGCTGCACACTAACCTTTACTTTCAAACTATCACTCTCTCTTTTGTTTTCATTTATGTTGTGATATTTTCATACATAGTTGTGAGAACTTTTTTAACATCTTTTTAACATCTTAAACCCATCACACAAGCTCTGATGGCACATTTTCAACGTTAAAAAACAATAGGAGAATTGTCTAACTGAGCTCTATTAATAGCTCTGGTTCTACTTCACTAAATTAAATTATCTTCCTATACAGCTTTTACTTTTTTCGAATGAGAAAACCTACTTCAATAAAATAAATGTTGTTACTATATCAACTTTATCTTAAACACCCTTTTTTTTTTTTAAACTTAAAAAAACAAACAAACAATAACACAATAGAGTGAGCTAATTGAAACTTAAAAGCTCTCATATAATTGATTGTGATCATGTTAAACAATATGTTAATTAGGTTTGTTGTTATTGTTATACTAAATTAAAAATCTTTCACTATCTATTATTCAAATTTATAAATTTATAACTACTTTCCAATTCTTAATACAAAAGAGACAAATTAAAGGTATAAATAAATAGGTAATAAAAGAGTGGGTTAGAATTTGAGGGGGGGGGTGTCTTATTAGGCTTAGGGTGGGTGAGAAAATTTTTAAAAAATTAATAAACCTTTTTTTTATCTAGGACTCGAGAGTATTTATAACTATAGAGCAAGCATCTATTTTAATTTTTTTTTATAGACTTGAGTGTTTGTGTTAAGCTTGTATAAAATTTTGCAAAGGTGTTGCCAATTTTTATGTATTCTTTATATGGTTATCTTTTAGAAGTAAAATTCAAAAGTAAATGATAGTTAAATCTATATAATTCACTACAAACAGTTATACACGAAGTGTAAGATGCGGATGATGAAGATTTGCTGCACGTCACATCAATCAGAGTAATGCTTGTGATTACCTTATTAGTCATGACTTAGTAAATCTTGATGAAAAAAACTGTTTGGTGAAAAGACTTTTAGCAAAAAAAAATCTTATTAAACTGTCTAAATGATTACTTCTATAAAAAAGGTGTAGTGCATACAACTTGATGTGTTCTTTTTCATTAATTCTTTGTCAATAAAAAGTTAATTTGTCGATGCAATATATATCAAGTTTAGCTCATTTCAAAAAAGTGTTATTTTTTTAATAAAATGTAACACTAAGTAATCTAATACTGTAAGTCCATAAAGTGGGCTTTGAAGTTTAGAGTTGCCAAAATTAGAAATTTTCTTTTGTCTGAGTTTTCAAAACTAATATTATTCTGTAAAAAAACAATAAAATTAAGGTAAATTAAAATGGTTACCAGCGAGTCAGAAGCGATTGCTATAAATGTCAAAAATTGCATGGTGTGTGCATGCAAGTGTTTGTTACCTAAATGAATTTATTTTTTCTGCAAATTTATTTATATGTTAAAATACTAACAAAAATTAAATTCTTGTTGCTTTTTTAATATTCACCAATTGCAAGAAGGAAAAAATTAAAAAGCGCATTTTCAACTTCCATCAATTACAAAAAAAGTTGATATCATAGTCCATTGATATCACTTCCATCAATTACAAAAAAAGTTGATATTGTTAACCTTGAGTATAGCCATTTTTGATTTTTTTTTTTGTAATGAAATGATTTTGGGTCATTACGTTACGCTATAAGGGGGGGAGGGGCTTGGTGCTTTTGTGACAACTTGCTTCTTGTGACAAAGGTGAGGAGGTGGGGAGGGGAGGGTTAAAAAGGGGCAAAAACTGCGTGACGTATTTTATGGACGACCCCTCATCAAAAAACTACATTAAACTTTATATTCATTAGTTAATCGAAAAATTAAATTTACATTTAGTTTTGTAACTATTTGCATTATTCCAAGAAAAGTTTATTTTTCAAAAATCATAAATAATCTATTAAAATTAATATTAGTGAATTTTTCAACTCAAGATATTAACTTTTCTAATTACTCAACAAATAAAAATATCAGCAATCCTGATTTCAACAACGCTTTAGATTGCATAACTTCTAAAAGTTGCGTGAAAAATGATAAAAAAAGAAAATTTGTGTACAACAAATTTAATTTATTTTTAAAAACACAGTTACAAGTTAAAATTAGCTCATTATTTTCTAAATTTCCATATGAAAAACCATGCAGAAACGAACAATGCATGCGTGATTTACATGCTCGCAAATGTTATAGACATACCAATTTGAAAAACTTCTTCGACCGTGCAAAGAAGTACCTTGGATATAATAGGAATTTTATATAAATTAATATATCATAGGAATTTTTTTTAAGCAGAAGATTTGCAATTTAGTTTTGCCTTACTTTAATAATTTTTTAAAAATTTTATAAAATTAACGTAAATCGAGGCGTTTTCCGGCCGGTCGACTTACACAGCAAATGCTCCCAATGATGTTGAACTTCAATTCATCACTGAACAGGATAGTTCGCCATTTCTGCACATTCCAGTCAATATGAGATGTAGCAAACAGGAGTCTTTTCTTCTGGTTCTTTAGTGAAATCAGCGGTTTCTTTGCAGGGAGTCGAGAAAACAATCCGGCTTCAACAGCACGTTGTCTGATTGTTCGGTCCGATACAGGCAGCTCTATTTGCTTTTGCAACTCGACTGATGATATCCAGGGATCCTTCTTGACGGATCTGACGATCATAGAATCCTCTCTAGAAGTGGTGGAACGCGGTCTTCCACCTTTCTTATCTGCTGCCAACCTCCCCGTAGAACGATACTTGAGACAAAATGGACCTTATCAGTCTGGATACGGTCCATTTTTTCACGCGATATTTATCACTAATACTTTTTTTTGACATTCCATTTACGTAATCGCCAATAATTTTCTTTCTAAGTTCCAATCCGAGACTGTCGGGAGCTATTTTTGCACTTGAAGTCATAAAAATAATAAAAATAAATAATCACGCTTCTCAAGGCTTACCGTGTTACATTTACCTTGTGATGATACAATAATGCTCTGTGGAATACAACGTCTTGGTTGGATGTGAACTTTATTGATGTAATAAAACACTTGTTATATTTCACTTCTTGTATTGATGTTCTTCGATAAAACACTTTGATAAAACTCACTTCGATAAACTGTCTTCGTAATACTGACTAATTGACTTCCATATACTGACTGAATTACATGTCGGTTTACATGTCTCCTATATAGTAAAATAAACCTGTGTGAAGCTGTTCTGGAAGATTCTAGATGCTTTTTTTCGATACTTCTGAATGTTTCTGGATACTTCTGGATGTTTCCAGATGCTTCTTCTAGAAGCTTCTGCATGCTTCTGTAAACATCTGGATACTTCCTTTAATTATTAAAAAATTTCCGTGACAATCACACGAACCAGACTTAAGAAAATGAAACAAACCAAAAAAGTTGCACTTGTTTTTTCTGCTGCAAAATGACACTTGTCAACGAAATTCTGCCTGTGTGCTGTCACCTGTCAGCTGATTGCTCATGTCATGGCATGCTATGACTCCAGAACTGTTTGCTGTGGTAGTATAGTTCGTTTCGTTTTTAAGACGTAAAATTCGGAACACTTTTTAGCATTGTTCCATGTTGGTTGCAAATGTTTTGTCCAATACTATATATATATATATATATATATATATATATATATATATATATATATATATATATATATATATATATATATATATATATATATATATATATATATATATATATATATATATATATATATATATATATATATATATATATATATATATATATATATATATATATATATATATATATATATATATATATATATATATATATATATATATATATATATATATATATATATATATATATATATATATATATACAGTCTTGCAAGGTCGTAAAAAAGAGTTTCCCATAAACGGTAGTTTTAAAGAGATTGCAAACTTGAAACAATTTAAAAGTTTAATTAAATAATTTTTTTTTTTTTCTTAAATGATAGATAGCTTGCCCAAACCAAATCCTCAGTCGATGTAGCAGCGCTCTATAACGAGTCAGGCTATTTGTCAGTCGATGCAGCAGCACTCCATAGCGAGTCAGGCTATAAGATAGTCGATGTAGCAACACTCCGCGCATATTTAAAAACTATATATTAACAAAACATATACAAAAAAAAAAAAAAAAAAAAAACACTGCTAATTAAAAAAAAATTCCAGTCGTTAATATTGTAGTTTTTTTTAAAAAACCAAATAATTTAATGCAAAATCGTTAAATTAATTTTTTTTAACATTCTGACCACAAAAAATTGTTGTTTGATCGCTGCGGTAGCAAAACTGTATATTTAATGACTTTTACATTAAAATACTCTTACGTCTACGAGATAAGGGTAGATAAGATAAACCTTGCAAAACTTCAAGTAAAAACTATGAAACTCAACATATAATGACATCTATATGTACTAAATACACACACCAAAATAATATTTTTTTTTACCATGCCGTTTGCTGCATTATGTCTGACAAAGTTGTTTTGTTCAGAAGTGGTGAAAAGTAAGCGTTAAGACCGTCACGCTACTTTTTACTACTTACTTAATTTTAGAAAAAAGTTGAAGACTTTAATGCTGTAACTTTTACGTACGAAATTATATGATAGTATTTCACATTTCTTGAAAGTTTCAAGTCATTTCCGTTTTTGATTCATTTTTAATAACTTAAAGTCTGTCAAACGTTATGACTGTCACTATCGCGGAATTGCTAATATATATGTGTATATATAAATATATTGCCGTTGCATTTTTATGTGCTGAACCTAGTTATACTTTTATCACCTTGGCGATTACGAATCTGATGGTTTTCATTACTTTTTTACTGATGATTTTCGCCACACAGCAATTACTATGTTTTAAAATTTTGCCAGATTTGGTATTTCCTCGAACATTTTACCTGCACTATTATATTGATCTGAGAATTTTTCCTTCCTCTACTTTAATTTGAAAAATAGCGTTTCCCCCATAACTTAAATTACGCTTTCAACAGCAACTTAGCTAAATCATAAACAATTTTTGTTTTTTAAATAATACCATATCGTCGCCACAGAGCAAAAATGTTTTATCTACAAAATTTGCATTTTTCAGGGCAATGAAAACAAACTTAGTTTAGATATCACAAATTAAAATTTTGCTACTTATAATAAAATGATTTTCTCAGAAATTAATAATAATTCAATACTTTATATTTATTTCAAAATATTTTCTTTAAATTAATACGGATAGTATTTTATCTACACGTTCATCTCAACTTTTCAAAACTTGTAGATAGAACATTTTTGCTCTGAGGCGACGATATGCCATACTTATAACATGCTTACTACGTGTATTTTAAGTGCGGCCTATTTAAAATTTCAAAAAATATTCAGCGATTACTTGATTTTTTTTTACATACTAAGCTTTCTAAAATCGAGGTTACTCCTTTATTTGGATTAAGTTGCAACCATTAGGCTGGTTAAGAAGCGTTACCTTAAAGCACCTAAAATTAATGAGGGGAAAAAAAAATTGATGTACTACGGACGTGGAGGCTGTATGAACTAGTATTTATTCTATTAAAGCAGTCGTTATACAACGACCGCAAATTTTTAATTAACTCTAACACATTAAAAAAACCAAATTTACGAATACGAGTAGTTGTTTATCACAAACCCTGAATTCCCCCTTTGAATACTAGAGCCACCCCTTCTGGCTCTAGCATTCCCTCTTCGCCAGGTAAAAGTCGGCAAGTCCCGCCCACCATTTCCGATCCAAAAATGAAATGCCCTTCTTGTTTTCGGCCCTAGGTGAGTTCGGCGCCATGCCATCAAGTCATTCCACGTCAATTCTAATAATAAAAATAAATAAATAGTATGTAATTCGTCGTGGTTTCGGTCCAAGTTCAATTGACCAAAGAATTTTTACTAACATTTATGTTTACAACAAATTTATAACTACAGTTATTAGTTAAAGCTTAAAAATTTATTGATTATAAAATGTAAATATATTACCTTTCTCCAATGGGAGTAATGCCTGTGGCACTACTACTTTTGGCTCTGCAGCAGAAGACGTTGTTTCCGGAAGCGCTGATTTCTCTAAATAATATAATAGATCAAAATTGATTAATAACAATTTTTATAATAAATTTTGTAACGATTTAATGTTAAAATAAAAATTCAAGTAAAACAAAATTTTATTTACTTTCTTGAGGTTTATCTGTTTCTTTATTTAACATAAAATTGAAATTAAAAGTGTTATTTAAAATAATTATAATTATCTTATATAAAACAGTAAACTTTATTATATTGCCTTGTTTATAATTAGTTTAAACTTCATTAAATAATTTTACTTATATAAAAAAATTAAATATCTCTTTACAACATTTATTAATGGTGTAAAAACTTAGTTTAATGGAAGGGTACCAGACTGTCCCTCTTTCCAATAATATTTTACCAGACTGTCCCTCTTTCCAATAATATTTTAGCCCCTACGCTACCTCCTTCACTCTTTATTATATTTAAACGAGCTGAGAGACACTATTTAAACTTTATCAAGCACACTCCATAAAAAATAATACCTAACAGCAAAGCTTGCTTTTCTAAACAAAAAAAAGAAAAATATATATGAAAGTTAAAAATAAACATTTTACTTATAGCGAGACTACTTATAACCTACTACTACTTATACTACTTATTTACTTATAACCCTAACCCTTACCCTGAAATTTGATTTTGTTTATACATACTATTCTTACTATAACAAATATATTAATCACTAATGTGATTATATTAATAACAAATATATTATTCACTAATACTATTATATTGCAACTATATATAATACTTACTATAACAAATATAATAATCACTAATGTGATTATATTAATAACAAATATATTATTCACTAATACTATTATATTGCAACTATATATAATACTTACTATAACAAATATAATAATCACTAATGTGATTATATTAATAACAAATATATTATTCACTAATACTATTATATTGCAACTATATATAATACTTACTATAACAAATATAATAATCACTAATGTGATTATATTAATAACAAATATATTATTCACTAATACTATTATATTGCAACTATATATAATACTTACTATAACAAATATAATAATCACTAATGTGATTATATTAATAACAAATATATTATTCACTAATACTATTATATTGCAACTATATATAATACTTACTATAACAAATATAATAATCACTAATGTGATTATATTAATAACAAATATATTATTCACTAATACTATTATATTGCAACTATATATAATACTTACTATAACAAATATAATAATCACTAATGTGATTATATTAATAACAAATATATTATTCACTAATACTATTATATTGCAACTATATATAATACTTACTATAACAAATATAATAATCACTAATGTGATTATATTAATAACAAATATATTATTCACTAATACTATTATATTGCAACTATATATAATACTTACTATAACAAATATAATAATCACTAATGTGATTATATTAATAACAAATATATTATTCACTAATACTATTATATTGCAACTATATATAATACTTACTATAACAAATATAATAATCACTAATGTGATTATATTAATAACAAATATATTATTCACTAATACTATTATATTGCAACTATATATAATACTTACTATAACAAATATAATAATCACTAATGTGATTATATTAATAACAAATATATTATTCACTAATACTATTATATTGCAACTATATATAATACTTACTATAACAAATATAATAATCACTAATGTGATTATATTAATAACAAATATATTATTCACTAATACTATTATATTGCAACTATATATAATACTTACTATAACAAATATAATAATCACTAATGTGATTATATTAATAACAAATATATTATTCACTAATACTATTATATTGCAACTATATATAATACTTACTATAACAAATATAATAATCACTAATGTGATTATATTAATAACAAATATATTATTCACTAATACTATTATATTGCAACTATATATAATACTTACTATAACAAATATAATAATCACTAATGTGATTATATTAATAACAAATATATTATTCACTAATACTATTATATTGCAACTATATATAATACTTACTATAACAAATATAATAATCACTAATGTGATTATATTAATAACAAATATATTATTCACTAATACTATTATATTGCAACTATATATAATACTTACTATAACAAATATAATAATCACTAATGTGATTATATTAATAACAAATATATTATTCACTAATACTATTATATTGCAACTATATATAATACTTACTATAACAAATATAATAATCACTAATGTGATTATATTAATAACAAATATATTATTCACTAATACTATTATATTGCAACTATATATAATACTTACTATAACAAATATAATAATCACTAATGTGATTATATTAATAACAAATATATTATTCACTAATACTATTATATTGCAACTATATATAATACTTACTATAACAAATATAATAATCACTAATGTGATTATATTAATAACAAATATATTATTCACTAATACTATTATATTGCAACTATATATAATACTTACTATAACAAATATAATAATCACTAATGTGATTATATTAATAACAAATATATTATTCACTAATACTATTATATTGCAACTATATATAATACTTACTATAACAAATATAATAATCACTAATGTGATTATATTAATAACAAATATATTATTCACTAATATTATTATATTGCAACTATATATAATACTTACTATAACAAATATATTAATCACTAATGTGATTATATTAATAACAAATATATTATTCACTAATACTATTATATTGCAACTATATATAATACTATACTATATATAAACATATAAACTATACTATAATTACAAACATATTCACTATTGTAAAAACCAAAAATAAATAGTTTAAAAATCAAATTGTTTTATCGATCTCAAATGATGGCTCAATGACATTAATGGTCTTTAACCAGACGGTTGTTGCATATAATGAAAAATAACAATTAAATGTTGACAAGTTAAACATCTAAGTATTAAAAACTATTACTGCTGTTAATATATACTTTTTGGAATGTTAATAACGAAACTGCATAAATCTCAATTTAACTTTGATTAAAGGTTTAAATACAAACTGTTGATCATGTTGCTGCCCGAAAATGTTGAAAAATGTTACAACCAAAAGACCAAAACACAACAAATCTAGGTCTACAACATACTACTTTTATAAAACACAATTTTTTTCTGTAATTTAATTCTTTGTTGAACTAACTTCTGTTAAACTAACTTGTCTTCAACCATTTTCTTGTTTAAACAAGAATTTTTGTTGTAATATCTACTTAAATGATTTATCATATATATAGGCTTGGTTAATTCTATTCACTTTCAATTATTTCTTCTCTAAAATCATATTTGAAGCAAAATATTATCAAATAAAGTTGTAATAATACTTTTTCAAATGTAAATGTAAAATAAATCTTTTAAGTAACACTTACGTTTCTCGAAAATATTTAGAATACACATGGCTGTTTAAAATCTTTCACTGCTGCAAAATTGATGCAAGTGCTTCACTCTAAAAAATCTGCTAAACTTGTTTAGCAAAAACATTATGAATGCTAAAACACTGTGAATTTTAATGACTCCTAACTCAATTATGGAAGCTATCTATGACTCCTATGACTCCCTATCCAGTACTCTTAAAACAACACTTTTTAAAAAAACCTGATCTTACCCCTTTATTTTGTTGTATATAATACTAAAAGACTAGGTTTAAAATTTTTTTGAGCAATAACTATTTTTAGGAGTAGCTCAAGACCCAAAAATTTGACGGGTCCCAAATATACTTAAAAAAATTTCTTCTAAAGTATTTTAACCTGGTACTCAAAATAAGCAAAATTATATAAAAAATTAAAAAATGAAAATTGCTTTTCATAAAGATAACTTTTTTAGACATTAATGCATAAAAACTATTGTTTTTAAGCTGAAAATAAAGTCATAATTTTCAAGTTTTAAAAATAATTTCTACGTAAATTGATTATTATTTTTAAAATTTTTATACAATTTCACTTCTTTTGAGTACCAGGTTGACATACTTTAAAAGCACTTTTATTTTCAAAATATTAAGGACCCCGTCAAATTATTATAATATAAATTATAATTATGGTCTGGAGCTACCCCTATAATCATTTTATATTCAAAAAAAATTCCAAACGTAGTGTTTTAGTATTATATCAGACAAATGATAAAAGTAGTATTTAAATTTTTTTCAAAAATTTTTTAACAGTCACCCTACTACCAGGTTTATAAAAAACTCTTTTTTTTAAATACTATTGTACATAATGAATATTACTTATATTTTATAAACGTGGGTCGGGGAGTCATAGGAACTATTTATTTATTAGATTATTCACAATGCACAATAGTATTTAAAATCCTATCCTAAAACAGATTTTTTTTTTCTGGGACAATGCAAATATTATTATTTAACTGGATTGCAATTGTCTTTAGTTGCAACATTCCTTCATTATTTAACACATACGAGCATTTATTTGCTCTAATGTTTAACTATATCTTATATAAGGAATATAAATATAAGATAACCCTAACGACTTATAGCGATTACACAAAAGGCTATATAATACTAAATTACCAATGCCATAAAGGTATAAGCGTGTTGTGTCAAAAAAAATTTAACACCATGACACAAACAGCACAATTAGGGCAATTTATACCAGTGTCACAAATAGCATAATATTAAATGCCAATGCATATGCTAATATCAGAAAGGTATAAATGTCTATGCCGCTATCAAATTTTTGGCATAAACTAAAAATGAAGTATAAATTTAAAACATATGCAAAGAAACTGTAACAATTGCATGCAATGTTAACCTCGTCTTCTTTAAAAATCATCACCTTTAAACAATAATATTTGCATTCAGAATAAATGAAGCATTGTTAAAAACATTTGCATTGGGGTAATTTAAACGTTAAACAGACAAATAAATAATTTAATTTAGAGAATGTTCTAGTTATAGATAATTTTTTATGGGAAATTGGACTCAACATGACTTTGAAAACATTTTTAGTTATTTGAAGTTGTGATTTTCAAAACATTTTACTTTATTTATCAAACTGCAAGCTGTTGGTCAGTAGAATAAGAAAAATAAATTATATTAAGATTTGGATTATAATTAGAAGATTTTAATAAAACAGTTTATTTGTAACATAACTTAATGATGCACACATAAACTCGAAATTTAAGTACTATAAAGAAGCTGAAAGAACTAAAAAAAGCAGCACAATAAATAAACAAGTGAACTTAACTCAATCAATATTTTGTATATTTATTCCACACGCACAACTTTTTTTGAATCACATTTATGGCATATCCAATGCACATCACCTACTGTTTCAGATAAAGACACACAAATCCTAAAAATATTACCAGGTTATGACATTTGTAAAAAGTAAAACCAAGTTGTAGGTCAATTTATTTTATGCTTATTCAACTTCATAAAAAAAATGTAGTTACTTACCAATGGTACCACGTCTCACAAACTTCACACTCAATCATATCCTTATACTGAGGTGTACTGCATATAGAACAACTCCAACTTTGTTCTAGGTGAAGCACTATAAAAACATGTTGATATAATGCATAATTTATACACACAAGTAAAACTGGAAAAAAATTTATTTACGTAAGCTTTTCAAATAGGTTTCTCCAAGCTTGAATGAGAAACCTATTTAAATCTAGAGCAGCCAGTAAAAATCCCAGTAGAATCTGAGACAAATAAGAAAAATTTGATAGATAAAAAAAAAAAAAAAAAAACGTGCCCCCTTAAAAAACTTACATTTTGTCTGAACCATTTCAAACACATCTGGGTTTATTAATTCTTTGACAATTGAAATATCATGATTTAGTATTTCTGGATGAGGAAAATTGTCATCCAGACGTAAATCTTTTATAGTTAATGTGTTACTGATAGTTGGTTTTTTGTAAGCAAATAATTCTAAAACTTTTCTTTGTTCTAAAAATATGGCAACTTACAAATGCAAAATTCCATAAGTAAATCACAAAAATTATATACAGTGATATATAATTAAAAATGTAAATGTATACTTAGAAAAAAGTCAAAACAATTAGTGATATGAAAAAGGTTTTTAAATACTTTAGACGGTTTGTACATAATGGTTTATAAAGAACTAAGATTTAAATTAGAAATACCTATCGACAATATGTTTGTTTTTATATTACTATTGGATGTTGTACCAAGTTTTGCTTTGGTCAATTTACTTGGTGACTGTAAGTGAGTTTCTTTAAGAAAAAAAAATATATATATTTACATATATTTATGTATGAATATATATATATATATATATATATATAAATATATGTATGTATGTATGTATATATATATTTATATATTATAAACATATCGCATAACAAGAATATGACTTTATATATATATAATATATATATATATATATATATATATATATATATATATATATATATATATATATATATAAAGAAGCCTTTAGCTTCCACTCCTTAAAAAAATGCCTAATTTTCCTAAAAATATAAAGAAAATGTTCTTCTAAGAATTTTTTTCAAGGTACGATTTTTAACACTTGTTATGCATATATTCAGTTAACATTTACAAGCTAAATGCGTTACAAGCAAAGGCTTGTAACAAGAGTAATATTAAGTTTTGTATTTAATGTATTTTGTAAAAAAACCGATAGCTCTTGCAATATGTTGTTTAGAGTAGCAGCTCCGCTCTCAGACTGTGTGTATATTAGATATATATACACACGCACCCTTTATAATTGTTATAAAAATGTAAATATATATAAAGAAACAGATATTTGGAAACCAAAAAAATATATATATAAAAACCTTTTGTTTTCATGGTCCAGTTGGAGATATCTAATAAGTTATTTATTTCGGTAGCTGAAGGTTTTGCTAGCCTAAAGTTTGATGTTTTTCTTTTTCTTTTTGTTGAATAAAATGTTGGCTGCTTAGTTATTGTTTTGTATGATGGAACCTTACTTTTGATATGTAATTCATTTTGCTTATTTGTTGTTAGGCTTAAGAAAGTATTTTTAGCTAATGATATATTTTTCTGTAATGTCTGCAAACTATCCTCATCTGATATTGAACTAACGGATACTAAATTAGCTAGATTCTTTAAACTTCTAATAATGCTATCTTTTAAAATGTTAATATCTGCAGGTTCACAACCTTTTATAATTTTGCAGTCCAATTCAATTGAAGATGTTGGGAAATCGAGAGGTATAGTTGTTGTAAGTATACTAGGATTACTATGACGATGCACTAAATGGATATGCTTACAAGGGATATTTTTAGTTAAGAAATCCATACAGTCACAACTATATAAATGAGTACAAACTTTACATTCGGGACATTTAGTGAAACATTCAGTGATGTCACACAATTTTTGGTGTATTACAACTCTGTAATGGCAAGCATTTGTTTCAGATGGTATTAGCCAGGCTCCTTTATCGTCCTTAGTAAAACTTTCACATAGCTGTAGGCTTGCAATGTGTCTTGAATGCACCATTTTTAATTTATAGCTAATCTTTCCTTTTGTTAACTTTATTATTCTTTCATACACTTTGTCTCTGTTAAACTTTAACAAAGCGAACAAGCAATTATCAATTCTTTTATTGTGCTTACCTTGCAGGTAACTGTACTTAAAAACTTTGTGGAAAGATTCCATATACATATTAGTATTTATGCCATGACCCATACGATAACAGAATGCCCATATATGTTTATTATTAACCCAATATTTTTCAAAGTATTCAGCGAACATTTGTGTCAAAACTGATGATTGCAAGTAACCCATCAATGAGTTTAAATAGTCATCAAATAGGTTTTTATCACTAAGCTGTAAAACAAATCTTATTTGTTTGTATATATCTGCTTCCATTTCAAGATTGTGTACTTTTTTATGCAATTCTTCTCTCCATGCTTTATCAACATGCCAGGTACACCAGAATTTCAGAGGCGCACATAAGTAAACATCACAAAATGCTTCATAGTATTGGGATGCCAAATCACTCATTATCCATTTTGGACAAAAACTTCCAGAATGTTCTTGTAATTTTATAAAAAAAATTTTTAAAAATCTAAATGAATCACTGTTTGCTATACACCATCCAACAGGTTGCCCCTCACCTAATTCATCTACAACTAACATTGAAGTGAGAAGAAAATCATATGCATTTGTGCCATGCGTAGAATCAATACAAACACCATTTTTTCCAAACTGTTGCAGCATTTTTTTTTGGTGCTCTGTTTGCATTATAATTATAAAGTCTGATTCTTTAAATGTATTACATGTATCTAACACACCCTGTAGTTTATAATATAAAACAGGACTATTTGTCTTCATTTGCCATTCTTTTAGCCAAATTGCAACACTGTCTTGATCATTGGCATGAAGTTGTATAGAATTAATGTTGAATGCTTTTTCTAGGTTTTTGATATCTTGACGCTGGGTTAAATGTAACCTGGATTGAACACAACTTGTTTCATCTCTAATATCATTTAGAATTCTATCTTTGGTTACACCCATTTTAAGTTTGCAAGCAATTTCTTGCCTTTGAACGCTTGATAGAGAAATATGTTGAATTTCATTTTTATGTCCATAGTGTGAGTAACAAGCATTAACAATAACATGTCCATCTACAGTTTGGGTAACTTTAAGTGTGGACGTGCAATTTTTAGCAATTTTTCGAGTACCTATTAAATAGATATTTGTGATCATATAGATTAAAATAGTATTTGTATATCATATATATAATACATAAAATCTGAACATAGCAAAGATAATTAATCATCATCTGTAAAATTTTAAAAGATTTTTAAAACAAAGTGACCTATAGCACACAAAAACTAAACATGTTTAATAGTTTTTAGATATTTACATTAGGTGTTCTAATATTATTTTAAATGAACCCTGTATTTAACAAAAATGTCATTAAAAAGTGGTCACTAAATTAAAATTTGTGGCAAATACAAACATTTTTTCTTCTTCTAAATATCGCTATTTACTTGATACATACCACTACTTTTAACTAGTCTTTTCTTCGCCATGCATTTATAAAGTCCACTTCTGTTGCATTGATAGTATGATACTTTCCTACCATCTTTATCAATCTTTTCACCAGAAGGTAAAACATATTGTGTTGCATTATTACTTTCAACATCTGATTTCCACATTTCAAATTCTAAAAAAATTATTTACAAGAATCAAATAACTACTACAAGACAAAAAGAGAGACAATGAATTTGAAAGCAATTGTGTAACACCTTATATAAAAAAAAAATTCATAACATCAACAGCAACTGGACTAAATATATTTTTTTATTTATGTAAGTAATTGTGTTTGGAACTACTACAAATTCAAAATCATTTTCACGACACATAATCAGTTACAAATTAAAAAAATAACAAAGCAAGAACACAAAAAGTTGGATGCAAAATAAATGGCATATTTACTCTAAACTATTTCTACTTTTAAAAACATTAAAGCATTACCTCGATAATTAGCAAATGATAATTTTTCTTTCTGAAAAGTATAAAAATGAACTGTAGATAAATGTTTTCTTAAATCCTTAACTCGCCTACATTTAAATCCACATTGAAGACAAAAAGAATTTCCTGATTGAATATTTTCTTGTGCTTCATCAATTGATTTGTGTTTATTTTTCATATGCCGCAGCATGTTTTTTTTTTGGGTGAAAGAGATATTGCAAATTGCGCATTTTAAAGATAAATCGATATTTTTTACACTGGCCATATTTTTTTTATTTAAGTTGGATTCGAAAACATTTGTATATATGGCATCTTCATCAGAATTAGTATCACTTACCTCAATACTGGTGGAAACTTCACGCACAATAGTGGTAGGAACAACAAAATCAAGATTTATTTCTTTTGAGATAAACCATGACATTAAAATTAATCTTAAATATTTAGAATATTTAGTAATTCTTTTAAAAAAATGTAATTATTGGTCCCTATTTGACCATTATTTATCATACATTTAAAGTAATCATAATTTAGGCAAGAGATTGCACATACTATTATGGTAATAACTCCACAAATATTTCCACATGTCTGCATGGGATAATTTTCTTTGCAAAAAGAACTGCATTTTTTAACTCCATTCATATGTGTCTTTGGATCATGACAATAAGTGATATTAAAGCTTTCGTTTATGTGATACAATTTTCTGATTAATAATTTAACTTTAGTTAAAAAATCATCTGGAGCTGACCATCCTAAAGAATCTCCATAGTAAAAATTACCTTCAATACTATCATAAACTGCAAGTGTCCAGTGGCAACCTGCATTTAAATCTGTACCAGAAAATGTTTTCTCGTTGTTTCCTCCAACATTTATAATAAAGATCAGCTTTTCAGGGACAACAGTTATTCTTGATACATAATACTCAATATTTCCTAAAAAGTTAAAATAAATTACCTTTGAATGGCTTTGGATCAAGTTTAAAATGCTGGACATTTGCAGCATATGATCTGATGAAAGCCATCTAGCACAACATAACTCAGCTAAAGTATTAGGGCTCATCCCATATTCTGATATTTCATTGTTAGCTGGCCTTTTAAAAAGCACTTCTTTGAATTTTTCGATTAAATTTTGAGAAGGAAAAATACTGATTGATTTTGGTACTAACTTGGGAGAATTAAACCATGTTAACTCTTGATCAACTGCTAGCTTCATTTCTTGAACCCTATAAAGAGCTATTAGAAGCTATTAGAAGCTGAACACTTTCATACATGAACTTTCCTAGATTGCATTCTATATAATGGATTCCACTCGCAATATTATTACGCATAGATAGTTCAGTGGACCATTTCATTAACTGATGTTTAGGTGGTAAACTTTTAAGAGAAAATACATCATCAGTTATATCAACAGGAGACTGGCTTGTTTTGATAGAATAATCTTGAACAGATTTAATAAACTGTTTCTGTGACTCGTAAGCATTTTGTCGATTATAATTGTTGATCGTAAGGTGATTAAGCTTTAACTTGTTTGAAGACAAGCTAGCAGATGCCTAAATAAAAGTTCTGTCTTTTAGAAGAAGAAAAAATGCATTATATTTAATGTAATAAAACTGTACTAAAACTCACCATCGTTATTGCGTATTAGTAGTAGCGTGCTCTATCCCATATATATTGTACATATATTATATATATATATATGTTTATCCATACAAATGCATAAACTTTTTTTAAATACGGCAACGAGAAAAAATTGTTTTCCGGACTAAGAAAAACAATCTTTTTTCGTCCAATCAAAATAGGGAGCCATTCCTGTATTTAACGATTAGTGAAAAAAGTTTTTGTGAGCCTCGTTATATTGTTTATAACTAATGTTTCGGACGTACTTGATACACTTCTAAGTGCAATGACTCGAAAGCGCAATCTCGTTTTCGTTTTTTCTATGGGGGATGTGATATTTTAGGCGGATGTAATATTTTATTACAGCTCTCTAGTTCTAGCTAATTTTTGTTTTTGTTATCAATTACTTGAAAATTGTGGTAATATTGATACAGGTAATTAAATTTTTACAGATAATGGAAGAAGTAACGGTTTGAAACTGAATATATGCTATACTATGTATATATATACTTGATATACTATTAGTATAGTATTGCTATATCAAGAACCAAGTTCTAACAATTTCAAAGATTTAGACATCTCATGTAGAATCGAATTTTTCAATAGGAAAACATGTTAATGATACATAGAACAATTATCCTGGTAATTCTTTGAATTCAATGTCTTTATTCGACAATATTGTGCTATTCTATAATGGGACCAGTACATTAGTTAACCTTCTTGAAATATTGCCATATCAAGGTTTGGAACTTCCCAAAGATGCAAGGTGAATTTTAAAAACACCTAATGAAAAGCGACTTATAAACAGGTTCTTGCTAATTTATATATATATTTTTAAACATTTAATTACTTGAGAATTGTGTTTATATTGATACAGATATTAAAATTGATACAGATATTGAAAGAAATAGTTAAAAACTGGGTATATGATACACTATATATATATATATATATATATATATATATATATATATATATATATATATATATATATATATATATATATATATATATATACGAGAAATCGTATTTTTGATGTTTTAAAATAATATATATATATATATATATATATATATATATATATATAATATATATATATATATATATATATATATATACATATATATATATATATATATATATATATATATATATATATATATATATATATATATTATTTTAAAACATCAAAAATACGATTTCTCTCAACACTTATAATTTTTTTTTATTATTATAGAAATTTTCGCTGGATTTTAGATACCAGCTTCTTCAGCTTGTTAAATGTTTAACAAGTTAAACATTTAACAAGCTGAAGAAGCTGGTATCTAAAATCCAGCGAAAATTTCTATAATAATAAAAAAATTATAAGTGTTGAGAGAAATCGTATTTTTGATGTTTTAAAATAATATATAAATATACTCTCACACAAGATGTTATCCTTTAAATCATATATATATATATATATATATATATATATGTATATATATATATATATATATATATATATAAATATATATATATATATATATATATATATATATATATATATATATATATATATATGTATATATATATATATATATATATATATATATATATATATATATATATATATAATATATATATATATATATATATATATATATATATATATATATATATATATATATATATATATATATACTAAGTATATACTTGGCACTTGATATAGTATTTCAAGTATAATAATTGATATACTATATCAACAACCAAGTTTTAACTGTTTGAAAAACTTAGACATCGCAGAATCTTATGCAAAGTCATATTTTTCAAAAGGAAAACCTAATAATACAAAGAACTTATGCTGATAATTCAATATAATTCAATATCTTTAATTAACAACTTTTAAATTGTGCTATTCAAAATAATTGAACCAGTACATTAGTTAATAAAATTAATATTACAAAATTAAGGTTTGGAACTTCGCTAAAAACTAATTACTTAACTTTAGGAATTAGACATAAGTAAAGTTCAAAAGTTTTCACAGAAAAATAAGTCTAATTGAAAAAATTAAACCAGTTGTAACAGTTATATAAGAGCCAGGAGGGTAGAAAATTTCCTTTACTCTAAACAAAATTTTCTACCCACCTGTCTCTTATACAACTGTTAATACTTGTTTATTATGTATATATATGTGTGTGTGTGTATATATATCAGGCCTTGCGATAAAGCGTCGGGCGATGTGAATTTTACGTCGTCCAAGGGCGATTTTGCGTGTAGCTAGGGCTATTTGCGTCGAGCAAAAAATTTTTTGTTTGAGTATATTTAAAGATATTTTTGAGCGGAATTTTAATGAAGTAATTTACGATTATTTTAACATTTAATTTAAAAGTATTTTAAAAACCGCACGCAGTTGAAATAAAAGTTTGAATTTAAAAAAATTAGATATGCTCATTATTTACAAGTAGAAAAAATTCAAAAATTAAAAAAAAAGTTTAAATCTTTTAAGCTAACATTTTAATAAAATTATTCAGCAATAGCAACGTTGTCGATAAAATTGAACAAAAATACTTTCTTTTAGTTTTAGATTTTAAACTTAAATAATTATTTTACAGGGGTTTGATAGGTTTTAAAATTATTCCATAGATTTAAAAATATTTATTAACTGTTAGACGTATTTAAAGTATTTAAGAGTGATTTCGAGGAAACATTTTAAAAATTGGTGAGGGCAAATAAAAAAAAAAAAAGATTAATATCAAAACGTATTCTACTTGATTCAATAAAAAAGTACAGTTATTAAAATTTTTGTAAAAAGTAACTCAAAAAAATTACTTAAATAATAACGATCGCTTTTATGTTAAAAGTTACCGAAACTCATCGAAGCGTGCTCAAGAACAGCTGCTGAAAAATAGAACGTCAGTTTTTCGAATAATTTTTAAGAATAATTTTTAAGAATAATTTTTTCGCTGAAATATTTCTTTTATACCTATAAGATTTTTATTCTAACATTTTATTTTATTTTAATAGAAATAAAATTCCTTGTTAACATTAAAAATCTATTCAAAACGTTCGTTTAAGTTTTTTATAAATACGAGTGATTGTGCTTATCAACCGCTTTATGAAAATAAATAAAAATAAATAAATATTTTATAAAATCGCTTGTAAAAATATTAGCTATTGCACAGTTTTTAATCGTACAATATTAAAATTTCCAGTTTATTACTCGCTGACTTTTTAAAAAGAAAAAATAATTATTTGAAAAACTTTAAATTACATATTTAAGAAAAAAAAAATCAAATTTTTAAAAAGAAAAAATAATTATTTGAAAAACTTTAAATTACATATTTAAGAAAAAAAAAATCAAATATTTTATAATCTTTTTTAAATTTAAGTTATAATGTTATTTATTCGTTTAGTATAGACAAAACGTGACAAACGTCGAGAAAATAAACAAATGATTTTACATTTTAAAAAACAAAACATTCCAAAACATTTTTAAATAATAACATTTCTACATAAACGATTTAAAGTAGTTTTGCGGTAATTAAATAAATTGGTGCAGTTAATGTCGATAAATATGAAAAGCAAATAAAAAGAATTTAATGACGTCAAAAATCGCGTCGTGCTTATGCGTCGCGCAGTTCTTATTCATCGCAAGGCCTGATATATATATATATATATATATATATATATATATATATATATATATATATATATATATATATATATATATATATGTATATATATATAAACACACAACCCTTGGAATTAGGAAAAAGGCAATAATTTGTCGACATCAATCAAAATAGAAAAAAATTTGATTCACAAGTAAACATAGAAACAAGGTCAGCATTATTTGTCGACATTAAACACTTTTAGGTTGGCATTACTGCATGCCAACCCTAATTCCGAGGGTTGTATATATATATATATATATATATATATATATATATATATATATATATATATATATATATATATATATATATATATATGTATATATATATATATATATATATATATATATATGTATGTATATATATATATATATATATATATATATATATATTTATCTACTATAGCATATTTATATGCGCAATTGCTCACTTTTTTTGCTAGCCTAAATTAAGTGAGCATTTTTAAAATGATCAATGAAAATGTTGCTGACCCATACCAAACCCTCAGTCGATGTAGCAGCACTCCACGGGGAGTCAGGCTATTTGTCAGTCAATGTATGTACTGAAGCCCCCGGCAGCAGGCTATTTGACATTAGGTGAGTATGACATCATTATGCTCACCTAACTCAGCAGTGTAAGATATATATATATATATATACATATATATATATATATATACATATATATATATATATATATATATATAGAGTTGCAAAAAAAGGCGTTTTTTCCTTTGGCGTTTTTTTTGGGTCAAAAAAACGTGTTATTTTGTTTTTTTTGACGTTTTTTTGGTTTTTTTGGTGTTTTTTTGGTTTTTTCGGTGTTGTATTGCTTTTTTTAAACAATTTTTCAGTTTTTTTACATAAATTTAGGACTAGTTTTCCTTTAATCTAGTATAAATTTTAGTATTTCGCCATTAAAGGCACAATTAGATGTATAAACACCAGTTTAACAAAAAAAATTTATAAAAAATTTAAATTAGCTTTAAGTTAGTTATATATTTAGGTATACTGTATGAAAATGTTTATTTTCTGTTTTATTGTACTAACAACTGTGATACTCTTATTATATATAAAAACTATTCTTATTCTATAAAAAAGTTACCATTTTAATTTTGATAATGTAAATACATTAATGTATAACACCATGCAAATTTAATATCAGATTTAAAATGCTCAAAAAAATAAGCTAGCTATCAAGATTATTAACTTAATAAATTAAGCATTTGTATATTATGCAGTAATTAAGTCTTACATTGTTTGTTTGTTACATCAAAAAAATAATTATTGCTAGTATGCCTATTAAAAAAAAGCCCTATACTTAACTTAGTTTCAAGGAAAATTTAAAAACTTTTTAATTATTTTTATTTACGGAGTTTCCCAGACCCCATTCACCTGATGATTCGTAATTTATTTATTTGTAATTAATTTTTTAACAGCATTTTTTTTTTCTAATTACATTTATTCATCTAAATATTTTCATAGAGCACTATATCAGAACACTTGCA